TACAGGTAGTCCTCCACTTAGGATCATAATTGGTCCTGGAATCTCACTCATTCACTGAAGTGTTCATTAAGTGAGATAATGTGTGATTGCTTTGTTCAACACTGCAATCCTGGCTCTCCCAGTTTTGCTTGTAAAACGAATGCACAGGTCATTAAGCAGAGCACAGGGAGAGAGCCCAGGTCTTCTGGGCATGGTGAGGTGGTGATAAGGCACAAGCCTCCCATTATACTCAGGAGGCCAAGGCCTTGCTCCAGCAGGGAGAACAATTGCAAGAATGATGGCGTTCACTAGCATTTTTCCTTCCGGAGGGATGAGAAAATAGAAAGTTTCTACTTTTTAAAGTTTTTAGGGATCTGGGCATCCACTCCACTTCTGCAATGTTAACAGACTGTGTTTCATTTACAAAACTGCTTGAAGCTTCTGCCCTCATCCTAACCTGTGAAATTAGAAAACCAAGACTTTTGAAGAAAATTCCTGACACTTTCCTTTCTGTGATCTTTCTAACTATCCTGCCGGTATATTTTTTATTTAACATGCTTAGTTTCTTGGGTGCAAGGGATTCTGCTGCTTTTCTAAGACCAGACTACATTCTCCTTCCCTCCTGCCGAGGCTCAGCAAACTCTTTGGCTTTGCCTAAGGGGAAAAGCTATCCCAAGAAACAAATTTGGACTCCCACTAGGACTCCTAAACACCATAAATTCACAACAAGAATATCACATATTTTCAAAGGAAGAACTTAGTCCTTGTCATCTCTTTTGTAGTCTTTGATTGGAAGACAGTATTTTTGAGCTGAGGGCCCTCTGCGTTTATACATTCAGTGGTGGCCGGATGAAAGATGAGTGGTTCAAAACATCAAAATCTTCCTATAGGAGTGCAGAATATTTCTTGCTTTCAGTTTACAGGTAAAGCAGAGGATTGAACCTGAAGCGGGTTTATCAGTCTCCAACAAGATGGCAGAACATACTTAAGAGAACATTCCTTTCATGAAGTTTCTTAAGTGAATTTACTTTAGGCTCAAAGAAGGTTTCTTCAAATAGTAAACTGTAGGGAATCTTACTGAAGAAGTGCATTGGTGCCATCTGCAGGTTCACTGAAAGTTTTACATATAAAGTCTACGTAGAATACTTTGCTATTTGCAGTGAAGACTTCAGTCTGTTTACAGGTTAAGAATGTGAACACAAAATGAACTCTGGCAAAATGGATCTAGATTTAAGATGACTCAGAAAAAGTGACAGTGAAACATGGAGAATTCCAGTACTGTGATGCATTCAGATTCCTGTTGCTTTAAATCTCCTATCAGTCAGGACACCCTGACAAGTTTTCTTTTGTAGTTGGAAAATCAAAAGGAGCTAGGTCATTAGCCCCGAGGAAATAAAAGGTCATGAAGGGATGGGCCTAGATTAGATTATTTGAACCAATACTCTCTGGGTTTGACATTGCCAAGATTCTTCCCTTGTTTACACATTGGTCCCGGCACATGCTTCTATTTTTAGGAAGTGGAACAGCCTCTCTAAAGCATTCGGATTAAGTTTCCCACTGGTATTTGATATATTGCCTGCCATTTTGAAGTAAGAATTCTGAAAACACATCAGACACTCTCTGGCAATATGATAACCTGCAAGAAAACAATCCTGGTGATATTTCGGGTGGTTAACCGCAATAACTGCAGATTGTGAAATATCACTTTGCATAACTATCCAGCAGTACAGAAGAATGTATTTACCTGCTCTGTAAAGCCATAGAATTCATGACCTAGATTTTAAGTAGCTCAATTATAGTTCAGTCTCTTGATTGACCAATTCCTAGCTCACTTTAGTCTATCACTCATAACAGAAATAGTGTATGTGTGACTCTAATAGTAAGAGCCTAAGTATTAGAACCATTGAAATAAACACAGAAACCCACATTTTCCGTTTGTACTTTATAATTATATAGGACTGGATACATTAATAATATGTTAGAGGAATGGGAGCCTTTTGGTAGTTTACAAACACCTTGAATGGGGCATCAGCAGTGGAGTTTAAAAAGTCAAGATAGCATTGTAATTGTGCAGCCAAGTTCCATCTCTGTGTTTACATTGACCATGGTAGAGTCTCATTCAATAACATTGTAACACAAAAACGAAATATTTTCTTGCTATAGAATGACAATGGGTATACTTCAGAAGTTGTTCCTCCAACTGTGCTAAATAAATACAGTTGAAACAACTTATCTGTGATGATCATTTAACTACTGCAAAATTCCTGGCAGCTTCCTATTAAATTATTTTTATATAGTGTTGCATGGTTTCAGGAAAGAATGGGGAGGAGGGCAGAATTTTACTGTAGTGCCTCAATTAATAAGTGGCTAGTTTCATATTCTTTTGCAACTTTCCGGTCCAGCAGCTGCTAAACTTCTCTCCCCTTTTTATTGTCTCAAGTAGGAAATGAAATGGAATTGGACATATTACCAAGGTCCCCTCTAGAGCAAATTCAGTGGTATTTTTGGGTGTTTCGTTATTGCAACTTGTCAAAAACTTCAGGCAGATGGTCCCTATCTAACTGAATCAGAGCAGCATCACAGCAATATTGTGCTAATCCATAGGTCTTGTTTGTTTCACTGAGTTTAGCATAGAAGAGGCCTATTGCATTCTTCTTAATGTTTAGATTATAAATATTATAAATATTGTCAAATCCTTTATCTTGTTGGGCCTTATGCTTTTTCCACAGATTTTATGACAAGAAATACCAAGTGTTTCTAAAACTTGCGGAAGATCAAAGAAAATATAAATCCATCATGCAGAATGCATAGACAGCATAAAAAAGAATCATCTTTGATATCAGAGGTCTGACTGATTCCTTTGATTTTCTTGATTAGTTATTTACATTAATGAGAAGCATTGCAATAAAAATAAAAAATACTTTATAGCCTATTGAATATGAATGTAGGTATACATTCAGCATTCACACTTTTCAGAATTGTATCATCTGTTAAAAAGCTTGCAAAAATATGTACATTAAGCAAAAGTGTATAAAAAGAGATACATTAGATAAAATATGCAGAATTCATGTAATCTCCCATGCATTTTTAAAATTTGCAACCTTATATGAAAATAAAATAAACTGAAGCTTGGGAAAGCGCTAAATTAAGAAAAGTCAAAATTATAAATGTACCTTCATTGGTCAGGCTTTCCATTTAATGTCAAAAACTAAATTGCTGCTTATTATTGTTCCCTTTAATAAAATCAAGAGTCATAATATGATATTATGTGAACCAAGAGCTAGGAAGACATACCACTTAATTAATTCTGTAGAAAAAAATTGCTGCAAGAGCTACATACAATTTTACATCATATGTTTTCCAACTCATTATCAGTGTAATTTTAAATGTGTCTTAAAACACATTTGTCAGCCCTTCAATGTAGACTAAGTCAAGAAACAGAATATTGGATTCTTGTTATACAAGAATGTTGGATTCTTGATATATGCTAGAGTAACATGATGTTAAAAATCTGGTTGTGTTTTCCTTTCCATCCTTCTTATATCCAGGGTGTTAAGGCAGAATCCGTTTGAGCTTCTTTCTAATGTCCTTGTTTCATGGGTTTAGTAAATGCAGTTTGTTCAAGGTGATCTTTGTGGCTCTGCATTATTGCAGTTTTTGTTTTTATCAAAATTAATAAAGATCATTCATACATTTTTTTAGTATCTCTATTCAGTTATTTTAACTGATCGGTTTAATCTGAAATTTTCTCAATTATTCAAATCTTTTAAATATAAAAATAAAAGTTTAGATCAGATAAATTCCCCTCCTCCAGCTCATAAATTCCTAGGTTTAGCATTATTGTTATCTAGATAATGTTGTTTTTCTTTATGGTCTGTTACCTATACTTTTTTCAATCCCCTACCACAAAAGAATAATTCAGTATTTGGATAACATCTTACATTTGTTTCAAATACACTGAGTAGTCCAAAATGTATTTCAGAATATTCAGTTTGTAGCACCAGCTTGGGATAAAATGAAATAAAGTTGCATCAGAATTGGCTGATGAAGAGGAATAATAAATAATGATTACCTGAGAGTTGTACAACTATTTTATGTTTCCTTGTAGATGCTGTTTCTCAAAACTAGCCTTTCTTGCTTGGGTTTTCTAGGATAACAGTACAGGTAGTCCTCAACTTATGACAGTTCATTTAGTGACTGTTCAAAGTTACAATGGCATTGAAAAAAGTGGCTTATGACTGTTTTTCACACTTACAACCATTGCAGCATTCCTATGGTCATGTGATCAAAATTCAGATGCTTGGCAACTGACTCATATTTATGATGGTTTTAGTGTCCCGGGGTCATGTGATCACCTTTTGGGACCTTCTGACAAGCAAAGTCAATGGGGAATTCTCTGAGATAATTTTTACAAAAAACCTGATGTAATTAAAAAAGAAATAATGCAACCCTTGGAACACTGTAAAGAATAAATATATTCATAGATGTATACATATTGTATTTAGATAAAAATAGTTTCATGCATAACTAATGTATAAAAGCTTGTGTTGTGAAGTGATTCCACGAGAGTCTCAACATAAAAAGGTTGCACTGGGTTACATGTGAAGTGGACTGTGAGTGTTTTTCATTAACCATCACTTTATTTTGTTTGTATTCACATACTCCTACGATTCTTATGAAAACATCTATACTTTACCTTTATCTAGTCCAGTGGTTCTCAACCTTTTTAATGCCGCGACCCCCAACCGGTCGTAAGTCGAGGACTAAACTGGTCGTAAGTCAAGGACTAAACCGGTCGTAAGTCGAGGACTAAACCGGTCATAAGTCGAGGACTACCCAACCGGTCGTAAGTCGAGGACTTTCCCTGCACAGGAGCGCCGCGCATGCGTGGTTCCGCCCCCTGCGCCGGCCGAGGCGTAGCTGGCAAGCGGCAGAGACGGAGCAGGCCGACCACCAGCTGGCCCAGCTCAAGGGAGGTAAGGCACCCGCCGGAAAAGGGGGAAAAAATGGCGGACAGCCTTGCTTGGTGACCCCCGTGAAATGGTCGATCGACCCCAAATGGGGTTGCGACCCATAGGTTGAGAACCGCTGATCTAGTCCTTAAAATAGTTGCAAGGATATCCCCAAAACTGCATTAAGTACACATCTCGTTGAAAAGAAATAACTAAAGCTCATTGAATTAAAGTTATTTGAAAAGGTTTCTGCAACTTCACTGCTGCCATCAAATATAATTTTTCTCAGATTCTTTTGTCTGATTCATATAGTCACATTTATTCCATTACAGTGCTGCTTGTTCATATCTTGCTTTGACTCTAGATAATATAGGCAGTCCTTGACTTACAATCACCATTGTGACCAGAATTTCATTTGGTAAGCAAGGCGGTCGTTAAATGAGTCACGTCCAATTTTGCAACCTTTTCCCCCATGATTGTTCAGTGAATCACTGAAGTTCTTAAGTGAATCTGGTTTCCCCCATTGATGTTGCTTGTCAGAAGCTCACCAATGGCAATCATGTGACCCTGGGATGCTGCAACAGTCATAAATACACATCAGTTGCCAAGATCCCAGATTTTGATCATATGAACATAAGGCTGTTGTGATGGTCGTAAATGCAAGGACTGGTCATAAATCACTTTTTTCAGTGGTGTCATAACTTCAGATGGTGACTAAATGAATGGTTGTAAGTCAAGGACTACCTGTAATGATTGTTGTAGCCAGCTGTATATTCATGTTTACTAGGGATAGAAAATAAGTTTGTTTTGAACCTTGAAGTTTTGTCTTGGATAATGATACTCTAAAATATCTCTCAGTTTAGCTGTTATACAGCTGAAACCAATTCTTGAGTTTTCCAGGGTCACTAAGACAAGGCACATCATCCCCTTCTTTGCCTCCTCTGCATGGCCTGTGAAACTCCCTGCCACTTCCTCATTTTCTCAGTTTCTTCTACTTCCTAATTCCTGTGCCTGCCCCTAACTACCAGCAACAATGTCCTAATCAGGGTTATATCAGTTATTGGGTCTTCCACAAGATATCCTAAAATGTATTCTTAAAACAACAACAATGCCTGCTTAAAGATTCGGAGACCTCACTGGGTTTTAGTCCTTTATTAGCATAACAACATCTGGCCAAAATATTCTCTATCATTTGCTTACAGTTCAATGCAATACATTAGCCCTTAATCACTTTTTAAAACTAAGTCCATTATAAATCCATTATAAATGTATCATGGCCTGGTTAATTTTGACCTTTCAGAGACATTGCAGTTCCTTCCATGATGATGCCAAGGTAATATTTTATTCCCTAGAGATCATCATGTTTGTGCCTTCTGATTCCATTCGAGGGCAAATGTTTATAAAGCTAATCAAAAGTAAGATTATAACAGCTAAGTTATCAGCTGCCTGCAAGATCCCACAAAGAGGTTCAGGCTTCATTTCAAGTGGACAGGTCGAGCACATGATGGTGCCAAAAAAACAGATGACAACTCTGAAGAGAAAGATCCACACGAGACCAGCTAGCGTGAAGATTCCTCTTAGGATAACAGGGACAAGGAGGGGTATGTCATAAAGATGATCTATAAACTAAGCACAGAGATTGGGTAAGTTAGGAATCTACTACTTTACTGTTAATTTAAATTATTCTGATTTTAGGGGAAGGAATTTTATAGCTGGGAAATTGCCCATTGCTAAATTCCATGGAATAAAACTGAACAAAGCAGAATAAATAACTAGGCAGCTCTCTTTCGTCCTCCTCACTTCGTCACCCCAACAGATTGTTTTCCTTTGGCATGATAGCCGCCATATCTCCTGTTTAATGCCCCATTAAAAGAAATCACAGTTTGTGTAATCTAACTTCTCCTTAGGAGAATACCCAACACCACTTCACTCATGGAATCTTGTCAATACATACCAACTTAATGGGACCAATTTTCTTGATGTGGAAAATATTGCCACTTACAGGCTGAGGGTATCCTGAGAAGCGTTTGTTGTAAGTTCTGATGTCATAGAAAGTTCGCTTGCTTTTCTTGTCAGGCCGGTTTTCAGAACAGGTGTACAAAAAAACAACCTTGTAATAATAATTAAAAAAAACACAAGACATTTAGAATCAAGGTGTAGGCTTGTCTTCTGCTAGATAGAAAGACCCAATTAATTAATTATATGGATTTATATAGCCACCCATCTCACATATGTGACTCTACATGGCTTACAATAAAATAGATAAATACATATTATATAAAAATGAAAACACGTAACCACTAAGCATCATAAAACAACCATCAACATGGCCTGGAAATGGGCTCTATTACACATCCAGTCCCCAGACTCGGATACAAAACCAGGTTTTCAGGGTTGCTTGAAAGTCCAGCAGGGTCAAGGCTAGTCTAAGAGGAAATGAGGCTGGGCAGCTTAGCAGAAAAGGCTATCCTGTTCTCCACCTGCCAATACCGTTTAGCCAACAAGATTGCAGAACCGGACATATTGTGATTTTCTTATTCCTTCCTTGACTGCTATTTCTTTGAGCTTCTAGGTCAGAGGTCCCCAACCTTTTGGGCACCAGGGACCGGTTCCGTGGAGAGAGGTTTTTCCGCGGGCCGGAGGGTGCATGTTTTTTTGTGCTGCCTGCATCTTGCAAATGGGGCTTTACTTGTTTGTGCGGACCAGTTGCTGGCATGCCATGGACCGGTACTGGTCCACAGCCTGGGGGTTGGGGACCCATGTTCTAGGTTATATGGTTTGATCTTTGAGATTAATGTCTTCCATAGCATCCTTGCTTCTTTACACTGAGACCTTTGTGCATTTTGCTCCACAGGCAGCAGGTAAAGCTCAGTAGAGTATAAGAAGAAAAAACAAACTTATTTATTTATTAGATTTTTATCCTGCCTTTATTATTTTTATAAATAACTCAAGGTGGCGAACATACACAATACTCTTTCCTTATGACAACAACAACCCTGGGAAGTGAGCTGGGCTGAGAAAGAGACTGGCACAAAGTCACCCAGCTGGTTTTCATGCCTAAGGTGAGACTAAAACTCACAGTCTCCTGGTTTCTAGGTCAGCACTTGTATAACAACTACGCCAAAATGGCTCTTTGAAGACAACCTTTCTAAAAGAAAAAAGAAAAAAGAAAGCCCAATGCAGGTATACTGTTTAATCATTCATAGTTCTTTGATTTGACAAGCATGAAATTAGAAATGCTGATACCTATATTAGCTTAAGGAATGAAACTCTGAAATATGAGAGGGTTATTCTTGGCATTTTTCTATCTTCCTTTGTAACTTCAAGTAAAAGATGAAAACTCTTACTTCTTGCCTGCACAGTGGACAGTTGATTGCTCTTAGCCAAGACCCATGTTTCCAGTATTCAATTAGACAGCAACCTAGGAAAGGAAGACACGTCTTTGTAAACCAAAACGTTGCATAGTGGGAAAACGCCGTAGCCAACTTTGTAACTGTTTACACTGAAAGCTGCTTTCTATATTACACGATCTAACCACAAGTAGTTTCTTTGTCCAAGAAGGCAACAAAAACTCAAGTAGTTGAGGTAGCCAATACACTGAAATTTTAATTCCACATGAGCCAGTAATTAAATGGATATCCATTTGCACATTTGAAAACAGAATTAAACGTTGCTTGAAAACTTAATAGTCACGTTTTGCACTTGTTTCTTGTGTTGACATACAACAGCAAAGCAGATTTGAAGGCTGCAAAAGCAAACCTTTTTCAAGCCAGGGTATTTGTGGATTCAGACATTTCAAAATGATATTGAATCTTTCAATCATGTTTGTTGCAATTCTTTTTTTTTTTAGGCCCCCACAAGAAACATTAGTAATTAGAAATAACATTAGCCCAATATTAGTGTTCTGTGCTATTTCCTGGACATATGGTTTGAAGTACAGTTGAAATTTGAGACTTTTGGAAGATGTATAGCAATTTGTAACAATAATACAAAAGAACAATCATGACTTTTTTTTAAAAAAAAGTTATGCCCTATGATTAAAACTGTAGATAATACATTTTCAGTAAGGTATTTGTTCCACTCTTGCACCTTTTACTATAATGCCAAATATAATGAAATGTGCAGCTTTCAAAAAGAGTGAAATTTAGCTAGCCCAAAGCCTGTTTGTACTGTACTTTCCTTCTTAAAATTATAAGAAAGTGGAGGAAAATTATAAATATTCATTGGGAAGTTTGCCTATTGCTATCTATCATTGTGTGGATGTGTTGATTAACTCAAACTATTTGTATGTTCTTCAAGCTTGTACTTTGGGGAATTTGAAATAATATGGTTTATACATTTTGTAACTTTTATTCCCTACTTGGAGCATCTAATATTAGAACAAAGTAAAGAGAACAGGAAGGGATTCATGTGTGGGTGTGGTTAACTGCATGAATGCTCTTGTTTTATAGCAGAAAGTCAGATAATATCAATCTCCCTTCTTGCTTTGATAGCCAGATGTTTTCAATATACATGTGTTGCAGTAGGAAGCCCTTTATGGAACGGGGGGAGGGGGGAGAAGAAACCGCTTTAGGGAACTTCCGAGGCGCAGATCACTCACCTGGAAAAGGTCTGTCTCCTCTCTGCCACGGTTCCTGCTGCCGCTCCGATCTGAGGCCAGGGGACGCATCCACAGCTACCCGCAGCCATGGATCCGGGCTCCGGAGGCTTGGAAAAGACCTCTGCCACCTGGATCCATGGCCACAGAGCAGTTTTGCGGGCCCCCTGCAGCCCAATCCAGGCTCCAGAGGCCTTTTCCAAGCCTCCGGAGCTCAGATCCATGGCCGCAGAGTGACTTTGCGGTCCCCCAGCAGCCCAATTGTTCCACGACCATAGATCCGGGCTTTGGAGGCTTAGAAAAAGCCTCTAGAGCCCGGATTGGGCCACACGGGGACCGCAAAATCGCTCCGTGGCCATGGATCTGAGCTCCAGAGGCTTAGAAAAGGCCTCTGGAGCCCAGATCTGGCTGCGAGGGGGCCCCAAAATCACTCCGCAGCCATAGATCTGGGTGGCAGAGATCTTTTCCAGGCCTCCAGAGCCTGGATTGGACCCGGGGGGCTATGGACGCGTCTCCTGGCCTCAGATTGGAGCGGCAGCAGGAACCGTGGCAGAGAGGAGACATACCTTTTCCAGGTGAGTCCCGCACAGCAGGAAGGGAGGGGGAAGCATGAGAGCATTAAGTGAACGCTCGTAACTCACTCATGCTGGCAGCTTAGAAGGAACCGGTTCTTCCGTTCAAAAAAAGGTGCCAGAACGCTGTTCCGTGCGTTCTATGACAAAAAATGCACTGGTTTGTCAGTAGCCGTACACATTTTATAAATTAATCTTATAAACCTTTGGGTAGTTATTTTCTGTATTAAAACAGGTGCAAATCCACCACTCTGCTAGAATAAAGTTACAAGTTATTTGGTATTTTGCCAGTGTTATGTTTCAATATTGCCAGACACCACAGATCTTTTTGTCATATACATTGGTGATAAAGATACTTCCTTTTTATCAACAGTGACTTCAGTTGGCAAAAATGTGCATGCAATTTCTCAAAATATATGTAAGCATAAAATCCACAAATATCTCTCCACATGATGGAAAAGTTTGCTGAAAAAAACGGCATCCTTTTAACCCTGTAAAATGCATGTTGTGGTATTTTAAAGAGCGGACATTAAAGTGTGCTCTTTAAATTCTAGAGTGTTTTTAATTAAAAAAAATAGGAGATTTGAAATACTGTTATTTTTGTTTTTGTGCTTTTTTTCAGATGGCAGGAGGTAATTTTTTAAAATTTACCTAATTCTCAAGACAACAATGTTCATATTCTTGCTATTAAATTAGCTTAAAGCTTTGATTACCAATAGTTTTTGTTCTGTTTGATATAGCTGTTTCTGTTGGCCTTTTGCCAGCTCACAGGCTCAGTACAGTACTCCTGGCCTGAAAACCATAAGTTTCCTGTTTAATTGTCCACAAGACTCCCTGAGTATTGCAAAACTTTATAATGTGTCTGTGGTACTATACAATAGCTGAGGTAAAAGGGTTGCTTCATTTATTTTTTTCATAATAAAGATAGTGATGGGTGTATGCACTTTTACAATAGATATCAGGATACCAAATTTGAATATGTTAGTGTGAATATATTCAGAGATAGACAGTGCTTTTTTTGAAAGAAAAAAAAAAGGTGCCAGAACTCACACACATCATACAACCCGCCTTGTCTACCCTACAAGGTCCCATCCAAAAAAGGTGTCGGAACTCTGTTCTGGCCGTTCTATGACAAAAAAAGCCCTGGATCACCAACAAATGTTATGATTTATTTCATGGAAACTTTGGCCCGTATCAGCTATCTTTTGCATAGTTCCATCCACAAATGGGCACTTGTTTTGCAAAATGTATGTGCTCTCTACTGTTTAATTTTATAATTTCATGTAATGTTAAGGTTACTGTAGTCTTGCAAAATAAAATTTATGAGAAAATGTAGCCCAATTAACTTGCCACAAAAGAAATGTCCACAGTTGGTTTCTACAGGGAGATTAGCAGTTTGGAGACAGATAGGACAACTCAAATCACTGGGGTAGCATTGCTGCCACCGTTGAAGACGTTCCTAAAAGAAAAAAAAATGCTATGTTTAAAGATATTCCAGTTAATTCCAGAAATGCTTCAGAAGCTTTACTATTTGTATATTGATCCTAGAAAACTCTGGAAAAATAGTACAGTCACAATGCTTAACAAAATGCTTACTAGTTTCACATATGTCTGAAACTGCCATAGTAGTTGATGTATCACTATGGGTTTCCTTTGAAAACGCTTATCTAAGCACCATTTTTTTTTAAAAAAAAAGTGGTAGGATGGAAAAGAAGTGGAATAGCATATTAAAAGCAATCCCTTTAATACATGAAAACTTGATTAATGGAGTCATTCTGTTTTTATAAATTCAGCATATCATATATCAAGCCTCTGTTTGGAAAAGTAATCCTACTTCTTGTTTTTGAAGTTTCATCTCTTACCAGGAACCACATGTTTCTAATTAAGCTCCCATAAAATTCTGGGTTCAGGGATATTCAATTCTTCCGGAGGATAAATAATGGGAAGTTTGAAACTTTCTTGATACCTACAATTTTTGCACACATCTTTTGGATTTTATATTATATAGCTTAAAAGATTTTGTAAACTTACTATTCTGGAGGATGAAGGAACACAATTCTTTTCCAAGGAACTCATTTCTTGTCTTTAAATTGAGAACTCTATAAAATAAGTAAGACTTGATATAATTTTGATAATATAGGCTGTCGATGAGTCAGATTTGGTTAAATAGATGTACTCCCTATAAATACCGGAGGTTTTTCCCCTCCACTATAAAAATGACAATCAGTGGCATTTTGGCAAAGGGTATTAAGAATGGAGTCTCTGAAGTGCTTACAGCATATTTTTTATATACCTGCCATCCTCAATAGGGCTGATCTCAAGCAGAGAAAGAAATGTGCTATTAGTTGATAGCAAGAGTATATTTCCAAATAAATATTTTTTTCAGAACGTAGTAGTATATAACTAATTTTATTCTCACTGAAGTTAAAGCATATTGACCGAAGTCATTTATTTGTTTTATCAAATTTAGATATCGCCCATCTCACTATTTAAATTTTAAATTATAATTTCAAAATTATATAGCCTTGGATTAGGCAAAACTGGAAACCTAGATGTGATCACAATCTTGATTTCTATTTTTTAATAGTTCATATAACTAACCAGAAGTGACTGTATTAGAAATATTTTTTTTCATTTAAAGTTATTTCCAGACTGAAGGAATAACTTGTTAGAATCCATCATTGGTTAACTAACCTGATATATTGTTGGAGACAGTTCACTCTTTTAACTGTGTAATCCAAACAGAATCTGGAGAGTTCTTTTTAAGCAACATAACACAAGGTCTGTGGACATTTACAGTTCCCGATCAGCAGACAGATCGGGTCAAAAAAAGCTGCTTCCTTATCTTTGACCCGAGACCCCATTTGTAGTTTTAAGTGACAGCTGGTTTAAAAAAAGCATCAGAGCTGGGCTCTGTTTATTTTGAGCTAAGTCCAGCATCTCAGATGAGTTATAAAAAGAAATTGGTGTTACACAGAGTTAATGATTCATTGAGGCATTTGCATGCCACTTGAAAAATCTCTCTATCTCTCCTCAAAGACTTAAGTCGGCAGACTGATCTTCACACACACTCTATCTCTCTGTACAAATGCTTTTGAGTCAGTCTTGACTTCTGATGACTACCTAAACTAGTCCCTGCAGTTTTCTTGGCAAGATTTTTGGAAGTGGTTTGCCATTGCTTCCTTCCTAGGGCTGAGATGTGGTGGCCGGCCCAAGATCACCCAGTTGGCTTTGTGCCTAAGACAAAACTAGAACTCACAGTCTTTTGACTTTTAGCTTTTCACCACTATATCACACTGGCACTCACATGTCTATGTACACACATCTGCGCTCTCACACACATGTACATACATAGATAAAACTAAAACTGTCTTGCCATTATTTCTGGTTTAGAGGCTATTAAATTAACAAAACAAGTAACACTAAAAAAGCATATATTCTGCTTAAAGTTTGAATTTAAGGTTCAGTCTTGTTTTCTCTTTAGTCAACTAGAGATCTAGAGAGGAAGTTTTCAGATATCAAGCATATAAAATACTTTAATAGACCAGTTATTAGAAATTGTGGTGCAGATTTATTTATTTATTTAGACCCAACATTCCCCATTCAGCATGCAATCATAACAAGAGCAAGCCTTGACTCTAAGATTTACAATGTAAGAAAGTAAGAATACATTGTGTGCTTACATAGGATTAAAGAATACTGAGACAGGAAAAGAAAGAATAACTGAAGGCCAAATATGTATATGTCTTTCTTCCTGCCATATGATAGTACAGGAGAATGGCTATTGAATGACAGGTGGAGAAGTGACAAAATCAAGTTCTATAATTATGGTTATAGTTTAGTTATGCATGTATCTGTTATACAGAAGAATTCAAACCTCAGTAAGAGTTCAACACTGGTTGGAAAAGGTGGTCCTGACAATTCCTGGGAGTTGAGCCATGTGGGGCTTCATAGATCATGACCAACATGTTGAATGGGACCTGGGAGCAGATGAGTGGCCAGTACATAAATCAAAGCACTGGGGGTTACACTGTTAAACTTATTATCTGAGCCAACTTTGGCTTCTGAGTTATCTTCAAAGGCAGCCCCATGTATAGTGAATTTCAGTAACCTAATTGTAAAGTGAAGAGGGCATGAGTTATTCTCATAACAGTTTTTCACTCCAAAAAGTCTTAGAATTGGCATACCAATCAAATCTTGGTAAAGAGCTCTCTGGCCATGGCCTGTATCTACTGCTCAATAGAACATGCAAATCCAAGAGGACCTCAAATCACAGATCTGCTGTTCTTTGCTCACTACTGTTAAGAACACCCCGGTTTTAAATGTGTGTCAACAGATCTATGAAGTACTCAACTTTTGTTCCTCTTCTATTGCAGCTTTTTGTATTGTAACTCATACTGTACAAGATCTCTCAATCCTCAGAGATGTTTTTGGGTAGCATACAATGAGGAAGGATCAACCTACTTTCTGTAAGCTGAAACAGCTCACCTTTGGATACAGCTTACTACACCCTAATGTAAATAAAAATTGCATAAAGTTCAGCTAAGTTTAATTTTTAAGTTGTGTTCATTTTTTCTGTATGATTTCAGGGAAGAATTTAGCAGAGAATGTGGATAAGACTTCCAGCACTTAAACTAAAATTGAAATTAATATTAAATATCTTTTTCAAAATGCTCTATCTTTACTTTCTGATGTCAAGAAAGAAAGAAAAAATATTTTCATACTTAAATGACAATCTCCCTTTCCCACCTTTTATCTTATGCAAAAGAAAATACAAAAAAAATTAGATTTAAAATTTAAATTCACATCATCTTAGTTACTTACCTGGTCCCAGAAGAGGCACACAAGGAATTATGTATGACTAAACTTTAGTAGATGCCTTGGGACAACTTTTAAAAAAAAATATCTTCTGATCTTCTCTCTAGGTTAGGGTGACAGAAGAGTGTTGTGATAGAAGGTCACAGCCCATACTTTATTAAGGCGGGCCATTTATTTTAGTTAATAATTAACATGTTTGACTAATGTCAAGGTTTTGTAGGATTTCCAAATACTTGTGGAAGCCTTTATTCCTCATATTTATAAGAATTAAATAATTAAAACTATGATTTAGTGATTTCAGAGATTCCAGATCTTGAGATATTAAATTAGGAACTATGTACATGTCCATCTTTAGACATATTTGCAAATCTAATAAGAAAGCATGCTATCAAGTAAGTGTTGAAAGGAGGAAAATAGAACTTAAAATAATTGCATAATTATAAAGTGGAGGTGTAGTTCATTCCCCTTGCCGAGGGAGTCAGAATACACATAAAAACAGATAGAAAGAATACTTGCAGGGGAAGATTATTGCTGGAATAGAATCCATGCACTTTATTAATGTTGATTTGAACACCATAGAGTAATATCTGGCAACCTACTTCTGATGATTCCTAGGATGGATGAAATGGACCATGTATGACCTACCTTCAGGTGGGTCTATGTAGCTTCAGAATGATTTTAGAGTCATCAGCAACCAAAGATAGAGATAAGAAATCAACTTGTTCTTCAACCTTCTGAAGGGCTCAGTTAAGTATAGACATGTGTGAAAAATGTAGTCTTCAAACTGAGAGTTTGCACAACCTGTTGTTTTGTGCACCAACCCCTCCAAACGACAGACAGTGATTAATTCTACTAGAAACCAGATCTGTCTGGTCTATCCATTCATTCTAAAGCCTCTGATTTTAGCTAGCTTCCTTGAGCTCCTCAATTGGGATAGAACAAAGCAGAGTTTTATAAACTGCCTGAGGCATTGTGTGAACAATTACAGTGCTTTGCTCACCCCTAGTCCTCCTGAGAAGTTTCAGAGTTCTATCCCAGGAACAAAAGCTAAATCTGTTATTCATGTTGTATGGGGGGGGGGGGGAACACATCCTGGTGGGGCAAAATCCCTCCTGTCAAAAGTATCCAACAAAGCTAAAAAGATTAGATATGGGTTGGTTCTTTTTTATTACATTATCAAATAAAATAAAAAAGAACCAATCCATATCTAATATGTTAAGTCAGCAAGACAAATTGAAACAGATGAGCAGAGAGGTGCTTTGGTTCAATGAAATTTTGAGAGAAGCAGCTCAAAACAAGTTCACAAAGCAATCAACCATCTTGCTGCTAAGGATGAAGGTTATAGCTCTGTTGTTTTGCTTCAGTGTGCTTCATAGGCCCTCTGGAGCCTCTTCAAATATTTGCACAGATTGGAAGAAACTTTGATGCAAGGGCACCTGTGGAAAAATCTCTTCCAGGTTTTTTTGCAAACGCTGAAAGTTTATGAGGGGTCTTCACACCATGTCCTCCTTCACAACTTCCTCTTACTATCTTTTGGCACTTCAAAAGTGGAGGAGGTGCAAAACGACACTTTTCTCCTCACAGCCTTTTTGGTGTTTACAGATGCTAAAATTGTAGCTCTGAATAGTGCCTTGGCTTCTCTTTCGATTACACTTTACAACAAACTATGACAGAACAGATGTGATTACTACAGAACTGATACTTTATCATTCTACGCAAACCTGTCAGAACAGATATCTATGGTGAATACACATGCATATATATAGGGGTGTGTGTGTGTGTATATATATACACATATCCAAGGAATACAAAAAAAATCAAGCCCCTTAGATAATTTATTATAAACATTAAAAGTTCAAGTTGGTTGTCATTTTCTTCTAAACATTTCCTGACTTGATTGACATATGACTTTTGAATATTCCTAAGTACAGTATTATTATTAATAAAATTCATACTGCGATTGGCTTACAGGGCCTGTAATATACCCACACAACTATTACAGGGCCTGTAATATACCCACACAACTAATAAACACATGTGAACATTTGAAAGGATATCAAATAGACTCCTGCAAATCTAGGTGTTTGCCCATTCACAAAATGATTGCTATAGAGAGATGTAAGCAGATACACTACACCAGGGCTTTTCAACCTTTTCACCGATTGTACCACTTTTAGGATATGGCAATATTCGAGTACCACGTAGCAAGGTGTCAAAAACTTGATGACTAAACAAAAAACTGTTCAAAGTTGCAATTGCACTGAAATGACTTATGACCATTTTTCACACTTATGACCATTGCAGCATCCCCAGGGTCATGTGATTTATATTTGGATGCTTAGCAACTGATTCATATTTATGACAGTCACAATATCCCAGGGTCATGTGATTCCCTTTTGCAACCTTTTGACAAGCAAAGTCAATGGCAGGGCTGCTGGTGGCCAAGTGCTAAGGTGGGACTTCCTTTCCTCCCTCCTTCCCTGCCTCCCTTTCTCATTCCCATCTCCTTCTGAAGGAAGAATTTGACCCCCCCCCCTATTTTCCCTCTTCCATATATTTATCAAACAAGGAAAAGCCTCCAGAGACAGAAAAGACCAGCCGCTGAGTGAACTAGCTTAAAAAGGTGCATTCCCCTTTAAGAATTAGCTACTTGCTAGAAAGGAAAGTTAAGGAGCCAGCAGCTGGCACTTAAGGAAGAAAAAAAAATGTAGTAAGTACTGGCTGTTAGCTAAGGCAGCCTCCCCAAATGGCTCCATTCATTAAGTAAAGGAATGCTACAGGCAAAATCCATTTAGGAGAAAAATACTTCAAAATCCCTTGCAGCAAAACTTACAGCTAAAATAGCAGAGCAATAGCTAAATATTCTTGCTTGCTTGAGAATTTAAAAAGTGTGAACTGATTGTGCTGCCACCTTAAGCCTATCTAAGATTCAACTGAAAAACATGTCAATAGGATTGTGTGATAAAGTTCATATTGTCCAGCAACACAGTGCTGCTTTCCACCCAAAAAATGAAACTAAAAAGCAAAAATTACTGAAAATAAAAAGGAATATAATTTCCTCTAAAGTTGCTCTCCTGTTTAAAAAATTCTAAAACAATCAGCAGGAACTTCATGTTTTTAAGTGGAGGGAAGGGAATTAAATACATTTTCTGCCTCCAGGCAATATGGCTTTTGCATGGCCCCTTTAGAAATTATTAGGATTTAATGTGAATCTTAAATTATAGATAGAAAATAGAAATTAAAAGGGCCAGTCTTGGTGAGTAATACTAAGTGGAAGTTTCTTTTCTAGAGGGGGAATTAGCATGGGAAAGTAGGATTAAACCAATTCTGCTCTTGTTTGGACTTCTAATAGTTGCTATCAGTAATTTAAGACTCACATTATCTCCCAGGGACATTGGCTATTTTATGTGGTGTGGTTTTCAGTTACTTAATAACTCTCAATACTTGGCAGCTCAGTAGAATTAAAAAAAAAACCCCACTTCTGTGAAAGATCAAATTCCTCCCTAATTAATTAAACTGACATTTACTTTCTGTAGGTCTTTATGGTTGTTGTCCGTATATTTTGTTATACTCCTAATAAAGATCATTATGAGAGTAAGCTAACAGTTTTGTAATGGTGTCTAGCATTCACTCTCCACTTAATACAAAAAACACAATCATTTCTTTAGTGTAATATGTTTGTATAATTTTTATATTCTGGATATTCTATCAATATTATTTCAGATTTTAATGCTACAAGCACTTTTTTCCTTCAAAATTAAATATAGCATTAGAATAAATGAAAAATGAATGAAGGGCATAGATCAAGGTATTTATTTCATAATAAAAATTTTGGTCATAAGCTAAATTACTTGATATTAAGATCTCCATCACATTATTACGTGATGTGTGTGTGTGCATGCACACACCAGTGTATATGAATTAGTTTGACGAAGTAGTACGGCACCAGGTTAGAAACTGGGAATCTGTAAGTTCTAGTCCAGTGGTTCTCAACCTTTTTAATGCCGCGACCCCCAACTGGTCGTACGTCGAGGACTAAACCGGTCGTAAGTTGAGGACTAAACCAGTCGTAAGTCGAGGACTACCCAACCGGTCGTAAGTCAAGGACTTTCCCTGCCCGGGAGTGCCGCGCATGCGTGGTTCCGCCCCCTGCGCCGGCCGAGGCGTAGCTGGCAAGCGGCAGAGACGGAGCAGGCCGACCACCAGCTGGCCCAGCCCAAGGGAGGTAAGGCACCCGCCGGAAAAGGGAAAAAAATGGCGGACAGCCTTGCTTGGCGACCCCCGTGAAATGGTCGATCGACCCCAAATGGGGTCGCGACCCATAGGTTGAGAACCGCTGTTCTAGTCTCTCTTTAGGTACAAAGCCAGCTGGGTGACCTCAGACCTGTCACTTTCTCTCTTTGCCCTAGGAAGGAGGAAATGGCAAACCACAAAAAAAAAAAATATTGCCAAGAAAACTACAGGGACTGTCCAGGCAATGCCAGGAGTCAACACTGACTCAAAGGCAGATACATGCACACATACATTATACAGGTAGTCCTCAATGTACAACCACAATTGAGCCCAACATTTCTGTTGCTACGTGAGACATTTGTTAAGTGAATTTTGCCCCGTTTTGCAAACTTTCTTGCCTCAGTTGTAAAGTGGCTCACCACAATTGTTAAAATAGTAACACATGGTTGTTAAGTGAATCTGGCTTCCTCATTGACTTTGCTTGTCAGAAGGTTGTAAAAGACGATTGCATGACCCCGGGACACCACAACCATCATAAATATGAGTCAGTTGCCAAATGTCTGAATTTTGATCACGTGACCACGGGGATGCTTGCAACGATCATAAGTGTGAAAATCAGTCATAAGTCACTTTTTTCAGTGTTGTTGTAACTCTGAGTGGTCACTAAATGAACTGTTGCAAGTCGAGGACCACCTGCACCAGCTGTTTTAAGCATCGGTCTATATTTGCCCCATCCCTTTATGGAGAGTGATTTAGAGTTGCCTTCCGCCAGCAGGCGATGCCCGGTAGAAAGTGAAACGAAGTCACGGCAACCCAACAATCCCTTTCCTTAACTTGGCCCACAGTCACACCGTGATTGGCAACAGAGGGCCTGTTTAGGGGGCTTTCCCGCTGGCTGAAAGATAGCGCTTTATCTCAGCGGTAAGGAAGAGACCACAAGCACGCTCCCTAAAGCAAGGGGCAGACCACTGGTTCCCCACCTGTGTCTCCAGGTAAAAGCCTACGTTGTGTTTGATTTACAACTCATCATCATGCAACTCTATCAGGTGTTGCAAGTGTAGAAAAGCGCCCCCAAAGACAGCAGGGAAAAAACGGGGAAGGGCGTGAATGGGCAGAACAGCCCACAACGCTCCGACAAATGCCTAGTACAGGGGTAGGCAACCTCGGCTTAGCTGACTCAGGAATTCTGGGAGTTGAAGTCCATGAGTCATAAAAGAGCCGAGGTTGCCTACCCCTGGCCTAGTAGGATCGTCGAGGGGGGAGCACGGAAGAGCTTCCCCTCGTCCACTCCTATTTGGTGCTCCGCAAGGCCAAGCGCTCTCGCAATCAGCCCTACAGGGGGCGCCCTAGCCAATCCCTGCAATGTCCTCCCCCCCCCCCCGCCTCCTTTCCCATTAGCAGCGCCTGCGATGCAAATCTCCCCCGGGAGCCGCCTTTTGGATGGACTCCAAAGGAGGCTGGAAGCTGCCCAATAAGCTTCGTCGGCCTGATTTTCCTAACTATTAATTGGTCGGCTCCCGCGTCAAACATCCGCATGAATCCTCAAGGACGAGCCCGATGAAGGGTTAATAGTTGGCGGGGAGGTGGGGTTGGTTAAAGTTAAGGTGAACACCGGCCGTCGCTGACACGTAACCTGCACATTGTTCTCAGCGTTGGCGCACCGTGCGTTGCGTAGGAAACCCTGGTGGCGGCGCTGTTGCTGCCGCCGTCACAGTTGTCACCTAGTGCGTGGAGGCCGCCGTCATGGAAGGGAGACCTGCCGACCAGCTGCTGTGCGACAGCCTCATCCTTTGGGTAAATGGCGAGGGAGGGGACGGGGACAGGGAGGCCACCCCCGCCTCTTGGTCTAATCGGAGCAGGAGCCCCATCACCCCCCTCCTTCGCCTTCTTCCACTCTCGCGCTGCAGCGTCTTCCTATTGCCGCCTCGAGCCGGTTCCGCGCGCCCTTCGGACTCGCCGTCGCGAGTCAACCCAAAATGGGGGGCGGGGGGGGGAAATATGCCCTGGAGCGGAGCTGCACATCCAATATGGAGGTCTGGGCGACTGACCCTCCGCGCTTCTCTCCCGCTTCGCTTCTCTTGGCTTTTCGCGGGTTTCTGTGTTCAGACAAGTCACCTTGGTCAACCTTGCCCCAAAGAGCTGCAATTTGGCTCCCCACAACCGCCTCTCTGGCTTGTCGTGATTTCCGTTCCGCATACAATGCCCAGGGTTTGTTGGGTGCACCGTACGTGTGTTGATACGCGTCGTGTTTATGGGAGCCTCGTTAGAGGGAGCTCCCTTTGGTGACTCAATAAAAGTTTAAAAATGGTTCTCAATGGGATACCCAGGGAGTAACTCTCCAGTGTAACCTGCTTGGAGGGTGGGGGGGGGGAAGGGGAGACTTTTGCCCCTGAACCCTAAATATATCTCTGAGCCCCAGAGCGCTTTTAGACACACAAATTTCTGGTGCTGCCTTTCAATAGTCAATATGGAGTGAATCTTGTTTTCCTTCCATACCAGATTTTCTAGGAAGCAGTGATAGGAAATCGTGGAAGATAATGTTATGGATGAATCCCGCCCCATCTCCTTTAGAAACACGTGTTTGTTAAAGGGCAAGGAGAAATCTAAGAGGCTTTCAGGTTCTATCAAAGCTTGTGTGAAAATGTTACTTTTGTAAAGCCGTCAGTGATTTTTAATACCTTGCAAATGGAAACCTTCGGGTAGACTTTTCAGCTTTTCTTTGGTTTTGAAAATAACTTTTAGACATTTTATTAGCTGTTGTGGGAAATGGAATATAGACCAACAACACACACCTGAAAACTTATTCCACAGAAGAGTGAATTATTAATCTGTGTTATACCACAGGAATGCATACATTCTGTATGAATTAAGATAAATTTTACTATGCAGGATCTAAAAGTAAGGACGCTGAAAATATTCATGCTGTGGCAGGCATTTTTGAGCATGTATATAGAGGATGTGCCTGTCTGCTGTTTCCAGATACAGGTTCTATCTTGTTTTGGAATTAGAAACTTTTTAACTTTCATTTCAAGGTATTTGATTGTTTTTTTCCCCCTCCACAAGTTATTGGTGGTATTGGGATATTTAAAACAATATTCAAAAATCTCATTCTAATAAATAATAACCCAGTCCTTTATTATAAATTTTCACTTACATTCCACTGAGTTCTGTTTCATTTATTATCCAGTACTTGCAATCTGATAGCTTGTATCTCTTCGTTTTTTTTAAAACAATGAATTTACTGGTTATGTTTGGATAAACATGCCATTATTGCCCCTTTGCTCTTTTATTTTGTAAGAAAAGTTTTAATTGAGTCAGTTTGGTTTAGTTCTTAAAGCACCAGGCTAGAAAATAAGAGACTGTGAATTCTAGTTCTGTTTTAGGCATGAAAGTCAGCTGGGTGACTTTGGGCCAATCATTCACTCAGCCCAACCTACCTATTGTGGGTGAAAATAGAAAGAGGAAGGAGTATTAGATATGTTCCCACCTTGAGTTATTTATAAAAATAATCAAGATGGCATAAAAAAATGTCAAAACTTGAGTTAGAATATGTATACTAGAAGCTTGATTAAGAGATAAAATAACCTTTATTGTAGCTTTTTCTGTGTATACACTGACACATATTAAAAATGAAATTCTGATGCCTGCTCTGAATATATATATATATATATATAAAACTTACTCTAACTGTAGGTTTTAAGAGCAATTTAAAGTGATATTTGTGCCAGAGAAATAGTTTTTTTTAATGGAAGCACTCTCATATTGCTAGAGATAAGAAGTAATTTATAATTTAGCACAGGGGTCTCCAACCCCCAGTCCGTGGACCAGTGCCAGGCTGCGACATGCCAGTAACCGGTCCGCACAAACAAGCAAAGCCCCATCCACAAGATGCAAGCAGCATACAAAACCATGCACCCTGTGGTCTGCAGAAAAACCTTTCTCCACGGAACCGGTCCCTGGTGCCCAAAAGGTTGGGGACCTCTGATTTAGCAAGTAAAAGCTACTATTTTAGTTATTTATTTTATTACTGTGCCATCAGAAGTAAGATACACATTAAGTAACTGTGACTTTAATTTGGAACTTTACTGATTAAAATTGTTCCATATAGCAATTTTTAATTTCTGTCATATAAATTAGAGAGCTACAAAACTGGTGACTACATCAAAACCTTAATTTGACATAGAATAACGTAAATGATTTGCTTTTATTAAATGTCTAGATTGCCAAACAACTCTCAGCATTTTCACAAACTTTTATCAATTTGGAAAACTAAAATAATTTATTACTTAATCGTAGAACATTTTATGGTTTTCAGTATGTTGACAAAATACATGCCTACTATTTCAGGGACAGAAGGTGTTTATATTAAGGCTATGATTAGACACTTTAAAAATAAAATACATATTTAAAAAAACTGTTCAAACATTTATAATGCTTTATTATTAAAAATCTTTAATGGGATGTGTTTTTCTTTTATTTGCTTACTATTAGAAAGAATGCTGAAATGTTGGGGGTTTTTTTGTATCTGCAGTAGTAGCAAATTGGCTTCCTTGGTTTTTTTTTTTACAACATAGTACAAAAATATATCAAAGAAAAAGATATTTTAATAGTGTGTTTGATCTAAACCCAAAACCATTTGGTGGAGCTAGGTTCACTTTTTGTTTTTTAGAAGATAGTTGGAAACTAAGTTGGTCAGATTCTCTTATTCATGGACTACCACTGACTGGGTTGATTATAATTATAAATGGATTTAAAACCCAAAAGAATGTGGCAGTATTCTAGAAGAAGGGAGCATGATCAGTCAAATGCTGCAGATGGTGGCTTTGAAGTTCGTAAGAGACTCTAGAATTCCTATAACAGAGAAATAAATGAAAATGACTGGTGCTTCTAAATTGGTAGCCTAATGTAGCAGAAAAATACTTTTAAGGTTAAACCAAAACCAGGTTCTCTCTGTCAATCACCTCCTAAAATTCTTAGTTGCCAGGCAGTTAGACAATCAGTGAAGTTTTTGTACAGAACACCTGTGTTTGTTTCTGCAGAACGCCAACGTTCCATAGCACGCAATTTGAAAAACATTATTCTAGCCATTCCCAAATCATTCAAAAATAGTTTATAAACAGTTTTTGTTTTTTAATCTTTTTTTGTATTGCATGAAATAGTTTTTGGGTTTTAGACCAAAGGAAACCAAATGAAAGGGTATATAGGGAAAGGGCAGTGGTGGGATTCGCACCACTTCGGCAGAACCGGTAGCTAATTTTTTGTTGCCCAGGCCCAGAATGGACTTCCAGAAGCAGCATCCACCCAGAGAACCGATTGTTCACGTATTTGAATCCCACCACTGGGAAAGGGTACAAAAAGGATTTCGTTTAACAATTTTTGTCATTTTACATCCCTTTGCATTCATTCATCCTGATAGATGGTTGTCAGCTAGGTGGAAGTGCGCTTTTTTAACCCTTGGTTTTCCCACCATCTCTTGTAAATCTTAATACTTGTTGGTTATGCAGGTTACTTTTGGGGGGGGGAGGGGTCAATCTTTTGAATACTCTTTACAGTAAAATAATGTAAGCTATAAACCTTTATTATAATGAGTTTGCATTTTGCTGCTGCTGCTACAAATACAAATCTAATATAATCACCTGAATAGCTGAATTTGGACATCCAGTTATGGCCACTGCCATACCCCTATAGAGATTTTGTATGTAATTGTGTGGATTATATGTTTACTTCTCTTTTTTCATTGTCTCATCATACACTAAGTAAGTAAGTAAGTAAGTAAGTAGTAAGTAAGTAAATAGCTCCTGCTGCCCCCAAACTGTAATTAATAATTTTCTGGTGATCAATGAAACAGTAATAAAAATATAATAAGATACCCATAATACAAAATTAAAAGTTATAATTTAACCATAATAACAAACCAATTTATGTTTCATAGAATCTTCAAAAGAAATCAGATTTTTTAAAAGTTTACAAAAACCTAATAACATGGAGATAAATCTGATTATGTTCTATAATGCAAATGCCTCTGCTGAGAAGCAGTATTTATTTACAATTAATATTTTTTCATGTTATTGGTACCCACTTTCCTCCAGAGTTTATAATTTTTACCTCTTAGCAAAAGCACACATTTATAGTCAGTCATCTAGCTTAAATATAAGAAAGTATTACATACTATTTATAATTATGTAGTTTTTAATCAGAAGGTATGCTTAGGATGATGACCAAGGGTATCTGAATAATTTTCAGTTGCCTAAGAACAAACAGATTAGCAAAATATAGGAATGCTGGGGAAATTAAAATACCGAATAGAAATGTGTCAACCCTGAAGAAGATTCCTTATCTCTTAAGGATCTCTTAAGAGTTCATGGTTAGATTTCATAAGAACAGTTCATTTAACAAATTAGCTATCCTTTGACAGATAATATATACTCTGTAATTTGATTTATTAAATTAAAATAGATTGATGGAGCATTGGAATTCTTTTAAAATTAAACACGGACCACAAAAAATTAGACTATTTCTGGTGCAGATAACATGAACCAGTACCAGATAGAAAAAAAATATTCCGCTGAATGAGCTTTTCTTAAAGAGTGTTTATGTTTGCAATCCAATACAATTTGTAGAGCTGAGTTGTAATATTGATTACATAACGAAAGAAATCCGAGTAAACTATTTTATTCTATCAGCATATAAGATTGACTTGCTAACAACTATTTCCTGTCAAATGTGGTTTCCCATTGCCTACATCCAGGATGTTGTTTCGACTTTCCAGTCTGTCTAAAGCCTTGGGATTTTCTGGTATTCTGTCATTAAGGACAAACCAGATCCCTACTGTTCTTGGATATTGTTCAGATTAGTGAAAATGAAACAGCTATTGCCACCTAAGGATATTAGATGATATCATGATTGTAATGAACAGGTTCCTTCCAGTGTCCTGTATTGGAACAATAAATGTACATCCTAGGTATTCAGATCTTGTTCATAGTATGATGGTATTGCAGTACAGAGAATTCTCCTTAAGTAAAGCAAAGAGTAAAACTATGAGCGGAAAGCATATTTCCGGTAGTACAAACTTATTTTCTTGGCATAATACAAGAGGGAAGATTGATGTTCTCGCTGTTGTCCCTTAGACGTATCTTCTCCTTAGGATCTGCAGATCCCTCTATATTAACAAAAAACAGAGGGAAAGGGCAGCAGGAACGATGAAAGGCAAAATTCTTTTGCGGAACATTTGGATTCCACTTAATACTTTCAGATATTCAAATATTGTCTGAAATATTTTTCATAATAGAAAAATTACTCTTATTCTTACAAAAAAATTTCACTTGGCAGAAATATAGCCTTTCATTCCAGTTTAATGAAAATTCATTATTACCTGATTTGGAGCATAATATCTAATTATATGACTTATGCCTTATCTGTCAGTCTATAAATGAAACATTTAACATCTGTAAAGTCTTTGGTATCAAGAATGCCCAAGAGGCTATTAAAATTTCAAGAATTCTTGTACATAAAGTACCCTCCCTTTTAATATATCTGTACGGATGAAATATTTGCTCTGAGTACTATTGAGATGGATTGAGATTATTAATTAGTTTGAGCAAAGATTCATTCTACGTATACCGTAATTTTCAAATTGACCACTCAGCTAGCCTGCTTCACACCCACAATATGGTGGGCTACTTTTATGTATAAGGGTGACATTCTTTTTTATTTGTTTGCTATCCTAATCACTTTGTGATTTCTTTCCCTCTAGTTGCAGACATTTAATATTGCTAAATCCTGCAGAGAAGTACAGGACTTAACAAATGGTGTAGCCCTAGCATATGTCCTTCATGAAATGTAAGTTATTTATTATTATTTTTCATTATTGAACATGCATGCCACCCTGATTCCCAATGACTCTGGGTGGCTCATAACAGTGAAAATGAGGAAATTTCAATAAAATAAAAAAGAAGAAAAAAGTGACAAGAATGACAGAGCAGATAGAATGAAGCAGGAAATCTCAATGTCCCTCATCAAAGGTATGGGTGAAAAGCCAGGTCTTCCCTGCTTTTTCTAATGAACCGCAAAGTAAGGAGAGCGCCTTATTCCAGAGAGTAGATGCTGCTAAAGAGAAGGTGCACTTCTTCCCAATAGATGATATTGTTTAATCAAAGGAACTAGACTGTACCTATGCTGAATCAGTCAGATAGATACTACTAATAATAATAATGATAAAGTTGGAAGGGACCTTGGAGGTCATCTAGTCCAACCCCCTGCTCAGGCAGGAAACCCTATACCATTTCGGACAAATGGCTGTCCAGTTTCTTCTTAAAAACCTCTAGTGTTGGCGCATTCACTGCTTCTGGAGGCAGGTTGTTCCACTGGTTAATTGTTCTCACTGTCAGGAAGTTTCTCCTTAGTTCTAGGTTGCTTCTCTCTTTGGTTAGATTCCACCCGTTGCTTCTTGTCCTGCCTTCAGGCGCTTTGGAAAATAGCTTGACTCCCTCTTCTTTGTGGCAGCCCCTGAGATATTGGAACACTGCTATCATGTCCCCCCTCGTCCTTCTCTTCGTTAAACTAGACATACCCAATTCCAGCAACCGTTGCTTATATGTTCCTTATACTATGGGAGACAGGCAGTCCCTCAAGTAACTAGACCAGGGATAGGCAACCTTGGCTCTTGTATGACTCATGGACTTCAACTGGCTCAGGAATTCTGGGAGTTGAAGTCCATGAGTCATAAAAGAGCCAAGGTTGCCTACCCCTGAACTAGACCATATGCCAAATAGAGCTGTACTTTGACACATATCTAGAAACAGACTAGCAACTAGTGCATCTCATGAAGCAGAGGTATTACATAGGCATACTGAAGCATAGTGGGCAAGTTGGAAGTGGGCTTTTTCAGGCCAAACAGGAAGTTAAACATTGAACAAAACATGAGAGGTGGCTAGAACTGAACTCTCTGCCAATCATAACGTTATTACTTATTTAGTTTTATTAATGGGGGATGCACACATTCATTTAACATTTTTAAGGGTTTTGTGCGTTGCAAAGTTTGACAACCCTGAATCATTTTAAATTATCTGAATTCTATTAAAGCATGGACTCACTTAAATGAAAATAGACTTCTGAAAGGCTGTTAATTATTTAAAAGAATTATTAAATTAATATCATGCATTATATTGAAAATACTGTGCATTACCATGTTACTCTCTAGGGAGAAAGTGACAGCTGCAGAAATTGGATCACTGTAGGAGACTGGGAAGATGGAGCAGATAAGAGCATACTCAAATCATTTGTAGAATTAGAAAACAATATTTAAAAACATATATGAAATACTCTGAAGCCTATAATCCTATCCAGAAAAAGGTGTAGATAGTTATTAACTTTACAATATCATAAAATATTGGATGTCTGTTGAAAAAAAAAATAGAAGGAAATGGGGAGAAAAAATTAGAATTAGTTTCTAATGTATCCTGAAAAAGGGTGTGGCTGGCTGGCTGAAATCCCAGGCAGAAATATTTCTTGCTGTGGGGGAAGATAGGAGATTCCACTTGCAATTAAATTAAAATTACAAGTTGGAAGACAAGATACTCTTCAAGGTTCTTGTCATTCATAGCTATTCTGGGATGCATATAATAGAAAATCACATGTACTTGTCACCATTCCATTTTCAGAAGCATCTCCTAAACCGCAAAGCACTATATCACTAGATACAGTCCAATTTACTTTGCCATATAAGATCTCATTGTTTACTGATTATTGCAACAAACTTGGTTGAAGCTGACGGGGGAAATTCAGGCTTTCACCACCATCACCAAAATAAAAATTAATACAGACTGATTTTATTTCAGCGATCCTGCCTGGTTTGACAAAGCTTGGCTAAGCCGTATTAAAGAAGATGCTGGTGAAAGCTGGAGAATAAAGGTAATGGAATATCTTATTAATACATACAATATTTACATAGGTTATAATGTTGAAGTTAAAACTACAGATAAACGTAGTTTAGAATATTATTTGAGATTGCTTGCTTGTGATTCAGAATGTTCCTAGTATATGAATAATAAACATAGAAGTACCAGATTGTGCATGGGTTTTTGTTTTTCCTACAGACCAGGATGCTGGATTATTTTGAGACTATGTGTTCAAATAATAACCTTGACATCTGAAATCCCTAGATCGGACCTGGACTTTAATCCAGCCCTTTAGTTGTCCCTGTCCAGGATGAGTGAGGTCGGAAATTAAATAGGGCTTTAAATAGGGGGGAGTCGCCTTGGCCCCTCTTGCACGTCAGAAAGTTTGTAGACTGATCTCTCCTAAGACTGCCAGAGGTGTGGTAGACCATTGCTTCTGCTGGTGATGCGGTAGACTGGTCCCTCCTAAGACTGCCAGAAGGGCTGTAGACTGGTCCCTCCTATGGCCATTGGAGGCCTGGTAGACTGGTCCCTCCATGCATTGCTTTTATTTTGAAGGCAGCTGCTATTTTTTTTCAATTTACATATGCGCATGCATGCCAATGGATCTTCACAGGCCTATTCGGCCCTCCAGAGCAGTCCCAATTTCCCATTAATTGCCCACTCCTGACTTAGATTACATTATCACAGAAAATGAATCAATATAATGTTTCATAATATAAAGGAACACAAATAAACCACTTCTTTTCTGATCATTTGAACAATTATGTGATTTTTTTTGAGGCTCACAATGCTGCTTTCAGAAGTTGCATCTATCTTCCTCCACCTGCAAGCGCATACTACTTTTCCTCGTTTTTCATTGAATTCTGTTTCATGAATTTACATTGTTACTATACATGGATTGAAGTATCTAATAATACCAATTATAAATAGCATATAAAATCCTTTTACAAAACAGTAGCAGAGGTTTACTTGTAGTGAGGAAGTTTGACTGCACTATATCAACAAATTCAACCCATCCAGGGGACCAACTCCTAATTGACCATTGGGAAAGCATTTTTTTGAAGGGTGACTTGGATGGCTTTGCCTAACATTATTACTCCATCTAAGTTTTACCTCCCTCACATCTCCTGAAAGATAAGCTTGAGAGAGAAATAAAGAGATGGGAAACTGATGCCATATACGAGGGAAACAATTTTTTAGTTTGAAAGTTTGAGCAAAATATAAAACAATTCAATATTTTCCTAATAAATCAGATAAGGTTTTCCATTCTAAAGCAGAGAAAAAACAAAGTTTAGGGCTGAGCATCTGCTTGTTTTATAAAAGCATTGTGTTATATTTTGGTTTTTACTTTATTCCCTCTGCTTGGATTTATCCCATCTGGTAAAGCTTAGTTTTTCTTTTGGCAGAGGCTGATTTTGTTAGAATGATGGTATCTTAAGTGTTATATTGCACTTGGAATGGTATACGCAACTAACTTGATTATATTTGTAGGAGCTAAATTTGTCGAATAAAGACTGCCTATCAGAATGTTAATTTTAACTTCCAAAAATATGAAAATAGTGTATTCTCACCCGATTGTTATTTTAAATGTTTTAGGCTAGCAATCTGAAGAAAGTTCTTCAAGGAATTATGGATTATTATCATGAGGTATGAAAAACCATAACAATCTGTAAAATATGCAATTTCTTCTTTATAATCTTAGTTATAAATCTCAGTTTACAGAATATTTTGTCTTATTATTTTCTTGTTTAGTACACATGTGAAACCTACGTGGATGAGCTTAACTTTGATATTCTATTACTAACATTTTATTCCAAATGGATTTATTTGAAAAGGAAAATATTTTTGGGAAAGTATTGTTTTTCTATCTGCTCCCACTTTTAAGTGCAATGCTGTAATGATCAGCATTCAAGTTTTTAAAAAAATTTAGTTGCAGTACTGATTATTGGTTAATTTCAGTAAATGTAACATTCATGTGAAGTATAATATGAATGAAAAAAATTTCTCTGCTAAAAGAAAGAAACCCTAAGAAATAGGGTTTACTCTCTTTCCAAAGTATTCTAACTCAGTTTGTTTCTTCAGGGCAGTGTATTGGGGTAAGGGGTTGGAATCCCAGCCTATCAGATACTGAAGCTCTGCGGGCGACTTTGGGCAAGTCACCAACCTCTCCTGACAGGGTAGTAGCATGTGGTATGAGCCCTCAGAGGAGGAAAGCTGGGATATAAATCTAACAACAACCTCCCTCCCCCAATTCATTTATAACTCTGGGCTTCCTTTTTTTAAAAAATTCTACAGTTTTTGACTCAGCAAATCTCAGAAGATCTTCTTCCTGATTTAAACCAAATCTCTGAACATTCTAATCCAGTAGAGCTTGGCAGGTTATTGCAGCTCATTTTAGGCTGTGCAGTCAACTGTGAAAAGAAACAAGGTAAATCTTCTCCTCTGAATGAGCAGCTCAATTTGTCAGCATTTTTATACCAGTGGAAACTGAAATATTAACTCTTTCATTTCTGAGTGCAGTGAAGTAAAAAAAAAGAATGTAATATTTTAGACTTCTTCTCTTGAGCATGTTTTTTTGGAAAGCATGCAATACACGGAATGAAATAAATAACATTGTTAATGTAGAAATTTTGGTTAATGTTTTTAAGATGCGTTGTCACCTAATCCTTGCCCAAGCCAGAGAAAGCCAGGCAAGGAAAACAAAACAAATCCCTTCTGGTTCGTTCCAACAAGAGAAGCATTAGCACTGTGTTCAAGTGATTGATAACTTGCAGTTGAACTACGTGGAGCGAGAACTTGGCTGCGCATTTATGATTTTAGTCATATTGTCCAGTCAGGCCCACTGCAATCCCTCATGTATTCTTGGAAAGTGAATTACTTTTGAAAATTAACTAAGCATGTTTAGAACCAAAAGTCCAGCTAACCTTGGCTGTGTTAGGATGCCATACCAATGCATGATTTAGTATAAACTTGAGCTGCAGTGTGTTTCTGCTTTATGGGCTCCCCTCTCCTATCAGGAAACAGGATTCTATCCCATTGGCAGTTACTGTCCATCAGCAGATGGATATAGTTGGCTGCAATGCAAAGTATGTTATTTCGGATCTTCAGTCTATTGCAGTAATGCAGACTGCAAGATAGCTAAGATTCAACTGCAGAGAAGACTTTAGAAATGAACTGCAGACAAAGCTGTCCATTTATGGGTAAAGTATCCTGTGTCTTTACATACTGCGCAAGATATATCATTAAAAAAATAACTCTTGCTTTGTAGAACATATACAAGTTATAATGACACTAGAGGAGTCTGTTCAGCACGTCGTCATGGCTGCTATCCAAGAGGTAAGAAAAAAGCTAACAGAAAAATTGGAATTGATTCCCTTTTCCCCCTCCCCACCCAAAAAAGGCTGGACTTACCTAGTTTGCAGTAGAGACAAGGCAACTAATATTACTTACTCGAATATTTATAGTTTCTAGTCTTTCATATGTACATTTCACGTTAAGTTTAAATTATGTAATATTAGTTAATTAAATTGGCACTGAAAAGGCATGTGAAAAAAATGTGAAGTGTGTAATGAACATGGATTATTTCATATATTTTAAGGAAAATAATAGCTGATCTTTTAGTAGTATCACCCTTATGAGCCTGTTTTAGATCATGGATAATTATGCGTTTTTGCCCTAATTTTTATTGTTGCAGTTAATGAGCAAAGAGATTTTGGGTTTTGTTGCAAGTGATATATCTGGAGATGTGGAGCAACAGGTAATTGATACACTATCTTTTCAGCTTTTAGTAATCTTTTCCTGTAATTTCTGACGAAAGTCTAGTTAATAAATTTATCACTGTGTGTACTCTTTCATTTCTGGATTGCTACAGAATCTCATAGGACTCAAGGACTGAAAGAAATGTTCTGTTTTGTAATACAGATCACCTAGCTTTTTTCAAATCTGTCACAATCCATTTTGTTTGCTGACTCAACAGTGAGAGAGAGAGAGAGAGAGAGAGAGAGAGAGAGAGAGAGAGAGAGAGAGAGAGAGAGAGAGAGAGAGAGAGAGCGAGCACATATATTTGTTAAGGGAATAAGTTGATTTTAGGTTAACATCTTCATAGAAGGCCGCAGTGTCTCAGTATGACAATAACTCATCCCAGCTTATATTTCAGAGAGAAGGGGGAACAAGGAGAGAGGGGCAGTGAGGTGGAAAGATAGGTTAGAGAGGCTGGGAGTCCTAAATCTCCATTGTGCAGCAGCACAGGTTTAGAAATATAGTGTAGGATAAGTATTTGGGTGAATATAGATATATTATAAAAACAAATGGTTTGCATATTTTATAAATTATTTGCATTCTTATATAAATGTTATCTTACTTCTTTGTTTAACTGTTAACCTGGAGTGCTGTCCTAAGTCCTATGTAGTATGTTCCTTAAGGAAAAAAATAGGGGGGGGGGGGAAGAAACATATAAAAACCAAAATAGGTTTTGCTGGTGGCAACCAGAGAAGTACATTTTGCAGAGGTAGTAATATTTTGATTATTTTAAAGAACAAGAAGATCATAGGAAAGAGGTCCTCGGGACAAGGAAAGTATGTGGCAGAGACAGATTTGATTATCTATTCTAGAAGGCATGATCATTACCGACTTGCCTTCTATTTAATCAACGTTCTTTTTTTTCCTGAATACCTTTAAGTAATTTTCACATAAGTGGGGACCACTGGACTAAAAGGTCAAGAAATTTGTTTTGCTAAATGTTTGAAAATGATCATCCCATCATTTTTAAAGCTGAAAAGAGCAGTAGAAGAACTTAATGAAGCCATAGCAGAAAAAGAAGAATTGAAGCAAAGATGTCAAGAACTAGATTTGCAGGTAACCACATTTTTCCAAGTTCCTTTCGGAGAAAATGTAATTGATTAATATTTACCTTAAATGCCTAAAATCAGATTGTCTTAAAAACATCTTCTACTGTGTAGTGATTAAACACTGCGATGTTTTATTTTCCTATAGTTTATTAGTTATGATATTCATCATGTTATTATTTTTAGTTCTTAAGAACTTTTTTCTATGAAATTAATGTCCAACCGTGCCTTTCACTGTTTTGAATGTGTTTTATTGCAGATTTTAGAAATAATATTTTGTAGCTTTTTTTCATTTATGGGTTTATCATACAATATTTTGGATATCTTTTAAAACATTTAAGATATAAATCTATTGTAAACTATAAATACTTGTCTCTGACAGCAGTTACTAATATAAATTAATATAATGATTCTGAATCTTATTGATACCTAAAATTGATTGCAGTTCGTTTTTATAGGTTAGGAAATCTGAAATATCATTTGACAAAGATAAAACAATGATTTAATGCCACTGTACTATACTGAATATGAGTATTTCTTTGAAAGTCAAAATATACATACCTCTTGCTTAATCTAATTGTTAATAAATTCATTTGTAAGGTCTCTGTGTTCCATGATATTTTACAAGAATTTAAGAAAGGTAGGTTTATATTTATTTCAGGAAGACATAACCCAAAGAGTACTTCGCATTTTGAGTATCAGTGAACTAACATGTGATATGCTGTGATGTTTTCTGTATTACAATTAACATGGTGGCTTTCACCACGAAAGATACTTAAGGGGCTGTTTTGTTAATATGAGAATCCTTATTTGATTAATATACTTACAGTATTGTTATGCTTCTACTTTCTAGCTTGTGTTATTTTCAGAAACATTTGCAAAATGCATGTTATCTTTTTATCCATTGATCTATATATGCGATGCTGTCTAAATTTTACTTAATGCTACTTGTTTTGGCTCTTGGAATTGCTTTTTACACAACTATTCACTACTAAGTATTATTATTAATCAGTTCTCTGCTGCTGTATCTTCAGTTTATAAACTGACCAATATTTTTCTACTTGCTAATGATGCTTCCCTTTTTAATCCCTTTTCTGCGTCTACAGAAATGTGGAAATGTTATCTGGGTGGATTTTGATCTGATTCAATAAGGCAATTCTTGTGTTCTTATGTCAGGTGAAGGAAAACATGTCTTGCTGGATCATTCCAGAGTCTACTTGGCTCAGTTCTTATATCATTTAAGACTGTTTTTAAGTTCTTTCCTTATTTGCCACTGCATATAATAGTCTGGAAGACTTTTCCATGTTGATTCTGCTTTGTTACTGTGACTGCTAATCTTGATTATATAAGTCAGGGGTTCTCAAACTTGGCCACTTTAAGACTTGTGGACTTAAAGTGGCTGGCTGGGGAATTCTGGGAGTTGAAATCCACAAGTCTTAAAGTGGCCAAGTTTGAGGACCCCTGATATAAGTCCTAAGATGTTGCTGATTTAGAACGGCAGAGCTGCAAATAGAGGATGGACGTGCAGCTGATGTTTCTATTTGTGGATTCACAGAGAGAAGTGCAAGAAATTGACAAATAAATTGAAACACCCATACTGAAATAAATGAGAATTGGACTTGATTTTATTTAGTTGTATATTGTACATTAATGTAATCATTTTTGTGCTTATCTCCTAATCTGTGGGTATGTATGCATACACTCACACAAACATTTAATTTAGGAAGCAGATAATTTGACTGGGGGCTAGTCACTTTATCTGAGATAAAATCACTTCGCCAATATTTGAATAATTACACACTGTTAATGATCTTGACTTCTTTATGATTCTGAAATGGACTCTGGATCTTTAGGTGGCTGCCCTTCAAGAGGAAAAATGCAGTTTAATGTCTGAAAATGAGATAATGAATGACCGATTGGATCAGTTAGATGGTTCCTTTGATGATACAAATACAGCAGTTGCCAAAAAGTATTTTCATGCACAGTTACAAATAGAACAGCTACAAGAAGAAAATTTCAGGTATGAATTAATGTCACCCAGCCATTTTCTCTATCACTGCTACATCTTGAGTTGTTTACTGAAACAAAATAGAAAACATTTCTGAAGTGCTACTTGATGCAAAAAGCTACAGTATAGCTTTTGTACACACCCCATTTTTTGTTCTGACTGTGTTACATATTTCTGAGGTTTTTATTGTAGTTTTTGCAGTGCTATGGTCTATTAGGCCTGGAGCTGTCAAAGGCCGGCCTTCTCTCAAATTATCCTGTTCATTTGTGACTATTTCCTGAAGAGGCCTTGCCCAGCTATCTGTATCCATAGAGATTCATATTGTTTTATTCAATGATTGCAACCTATTCTGTCTCTCAGCAGTTTCCAGAGAGATTATTATAAAATGAATGTAGTCCATCCCATGTGTTGGAATGATGTTATGAACACGTATAAAACAGTGGGATTGCTGGCTATCATGTGAGCATTCTTTTGACTCATACCATCTCCCAGTTGAGTAGAGTCCACACGATCTGCTTGATCCATGTTTATTGGTCTATGCAAGGGATGGAGTACAAGGTTCTGCCCTCTGAGAGAGTTCCAAGACGAATCTTATATAATGGACTTATAGGGAAAAGGACAATATAAACCCCCCTCCCAATGACATAGCCCACCCGAATCCATATCTGTAACAACTTGGCATTTTTAGCCTTTGATTTGTTTAGCCAGCAAGCTTGATTAACTGTCAGAGATCAACAAGGGTTCACTTTTCTCTTCTATGGTACAAAGGCCCCGAGTTTGCAGTTTTAGTCCCTTAGAAAGCTCTTTGTATTTTATTCTGAAGCATTAGCTTAAGCAGTGAGGCTTTTCTCAAGTCTTGTTAGGCCAAACTAGTTTGTTAATTATTTGCTTCCTCACCAGTGTCAGATCTCATTGAACAGGAAATCAGAAGTTATAGTCAGTTCATAATTTTTTTTCTTACTGTAGTATAATACATGTATAATATGCTGCTTTTTATTATTGTAATCTTTTGTTTTGGTTCCTTTCTTACTTCATCCTGTCTTAATGACATTATGTACATAATCACCTATCTTATTTGCCATAAATCTAGGCAACTTACAGAAGCAGTGACAAGAACACGCAAATAAGAAAACCTGTATATTCCCCTTCCCTCCCCCCAAACTCCTACAACTCTGGGTGCCTTAAAACACAATCCCCAAACATTTTTTTAAAACAAGAACATAATCTTTGGACTCCAGCCTTAACTTGTCTCAATGCCTGGGGCAAAATCCAGTTTTTAAAGAACTTTTGGAAAATTAGAAGGTTAAAAGAAAATTAAAAGTGCCTTCCAGATCTTGGGGAGATGGAGGGTATTCCACAAGGCAGGGGAGTAATGTGCTATTACTGAGTAGCTACATATCCTAAATATGTATAATGGCGCCAGTTTTGTTTTTGCTTTCCTTTTTTTAAAATAAAGGTTGTAATTCATTGTTTAATTTTTAATAATGCAGAAACACTATTTAGGGTCTTTCTCTTTGTTGGTAAAAATATGACGTAGAAAGTGGTTAAGCATGAAATATTTTGCTGCTACGTTACAATTTTAAGACTGAGTGGTCCTTCATTTGCCCCCAGTATGCCTGCATATGAGAAATTGTATACATTTCTGTGCTAAAACTTTTCCGTATATTTTTATGAAAGCTACCAGAATGTTTCATACTAAGGAAGTTGATAGTAAAACCCTTTCTATTAATTTTATTGTTTTTGCAAAGACTTGAAACTACAAAAGATGATTATCGTGTTCATTGTGAAGAGCTTGAGAAACAACTGATTGAGCTGCAACATCGAAATGATGAACTGACGTCTCTAGCAGAAGAGTCCCGGGCACTGAAAGATGAAATAGATGTTCTTAGGTATACAACATAAATGCAATCCGCTATGTTATTGTCTCTTTAATATGCAGAATTCTATCATCTTGGAGTTTTCCAAAGAATACACCACACTTTTTCAGCTGCTACCCTTCCCTCACATTATTTGTTTGTTTGTTTATTTCCTGTCTTTATTATTTTAGAAATAACTCAAGGCAGTGAATACATAAAATACTCCTTCTTCCTCCTATTCTTCCCACAACAACAACCCAGTAAGGTGACTTGAGCTAAGATAAAGTGACTGGCCCAAGTCACCCAGCCAATTTCCATGCCTAATGCAGGACTACAACTCACAGTCTCCTGGCTTCTAGCCTGGTGTCTTAACCACTAGACCAAACTAAGCCATTGTATATTGTTTCCCTTTATAGGGAAACCCTGTGTTTAATAGTCTAATTGAAAAGATGAGGTGTCTTATTATTCACAAACGCTTATGTCATTTGCTTGAATTCATATCATTGGTGCAATGACGTCATTACAGAAATGGCATAAATTACAGCAGAAAGAGGGTGCAGTGTTTTTTATAGTACTGACATCCTCAAAATCAAAAACTCGCTATATTGCTACTTCCAGATACTCTCATCTGTGAATTTCAGGATTCACTGTTAAAAAGGGCATAGTGCAGGGGTAGGCAACCTTGGCTCTTTTATGACTCATGGACTTCAACTCCCAGAATTCCTGAGCCAGCTTGGCTGGCTCAGGAATTCTGGGAGTTGAAGTCCACGAGTCATAAAAGAGCCAAGGTTGCCTACCCCTGGCATAGTGGATGTGAATTCTAAAGATGGCGGACTAATACGTTTGAGATGCATCAGCTTGGTGAAGTATGGGAGAGCTTTCATTATGACATAATACAGGTGGTCCTCAACTTACGACCACAATTGAGGCCAAATTTTTTGTTGCTAAGGGACACTTTTGTTAAGTGAATTTTGCCCCGTTTTACAACCTACCTTGCCACAGTTGTTAGAAGCATGGTTGTCAAGTGAATCTGGCTTCCCCATTGACTTTACATGTCAGAAGGTTGCAAAAGGTGACCCCACGTGACCCTGGGACACTGCAACCGTCATAAATATGAGTCAGTTGCCAAGTGTCTGAATTTTGATCACATGACCGTGGGGATGCTGCAGTGGTCCTAAGTATGAAAAACAGTCATAAGTCACTTTTTCCAGTACTGTTGTAATTTTGAATGGTCGCTAAATAAACTGTTGTAAGTTGAGGACTATCTGCACAGTAAACTAACACTTCCCTCCTTTTTGGCAACATTCAGAACACTCAAGATTCTGCTACTGAAATTTGGCAGCAAGCTATTAAATTCAGTGTGTCTTTGTTTTTGTTTCTTTGCTTCCTCTTCAATTTTTCCTAGGTATTCGATTCTTTTTCCTAAATACTATAATGCAGCAAGTAAAATAAGTCTTGTGGTTCCAACACTTAAAGTTTTTATTTGATATTCTTGATATACTTTGTTCTCTTGCAGGTTCTTGTAATACTTTAAATTGTTCTACAGTAGCAAATATTTAATGTCTTCATATGAAAATTGCAAATTACTTTTATTTGCATATCTTATTACTGGTAGCATGTGTTGTATGAGATCAGTACACCAAGATCATCATTCAATCTCTAGCTAAGATACTGATTTTGAATTAAGTATTGAAGGAATATTTTAACTCTGGTAAACAAACTTAATTTCAGTTGGGTATTGCAGCATTTTAGCTTTCGTAGTATTTCTATGTTCACTAATAATAGCCTCTTGAGATCTCCCTGGGGGAACCTATGACTGTTTTAGGTTTTTCTCCTTGAAACTGAGCATGATAGAAGACCTGTGATTCAAAAGGAAAGCCTATCCTGAAGTGGCATGGATCATTGTCTAGTAAAAGGAGGACTGTAGTGGATGCTCCAGTTTTAATTATGTAGAACTGGAAAGTCCTATTTTCTGTTTAGGCCTGCAATTTGAACCTAAGAAAAAATCTATATAAATAAATATGTAAATGTTCGTTTGTTCAAAATCTTAAATCTCTGAAAGTTCTTCACCGATTGCTTTGAAATTTTGACACAACGTTGCATTCGAATATGCACGTGTTTTTATATACCTAAACCTACTATTATATAGATGTCACACCTGTGACAGGTAAAAACATGCTTTTTTTAAAAACAGCACCATCTGTTGGACGTAAAAGCAACACACTTCTTTTCCATTTAACCAGACTGAGCCACAGCAACGCGTGGCCGGGTACAGCTAGTATTTAATAAATAAGATCTTACTTTTCTCTTAAGTGTGTATTTGCATTTTGTTGTCTGTTAATGGTTCAAAGCATGCTTTTGAAATAACTGAATATGTTATTATTTTAGGACTGTTGTTGATAAAACAAATAAACTGGAGTCGATGGTTGAGGTGTATCGCAAAAAGCTGGAAGACTTGAATGACCTTCGGAGACAGGTGAAAATACTTCAGGAAACAAACATGATGTATATGCATAACACAGTTATCCTAGAAGAAGAATTAAAGAAAGCAAATGCAGCCCGTGCACAGTTGGAAACTTACAAAAGGCAGGTAAGAAATTGCTTGAATTTCTGTGTTTTCTTTGTACTATTTCAGTTGTGTAAAAGTGTTCACTTTTAGGTCTAAAAAAGCTGAGAATGAAAAGTGACTTCCTCCTTATGTTGTCCTTGCAAACATTTTTATTGTTTATATCAACAGTACTTCACTCATATTCATTTTGTTTTAAATGAATAAGGTAAACCTGTTGGTAGATTTAGCATTGCCAGTAACACTTGCATGTCTTCAAAAGTGCTGTTAGTTGGAATAAGAGTAGAATCATGAAAACTAGTGCCATAGACCTACTACACTCTATTAATTGAATCTGTTGACCTGAATTTCTAAGCATTAAATGGTGCATGCTAAGATGATGATGATGAAATGCTTTAGAAGAACAATCAAGTACAGGTAGTCTTTGACTTATGACCACAACTGAGCCCAAAATTTCTGTTGCTAAGCAAGACATTTGTTAAGTGAATTTTGCCCTGTTTTATGGCCTTTCTTGACACAACTGATAAGTGAATTACTGCCATTGTTAAGTTAGTAACATGGTATTAAGTGAATTTGACTTCCCCATTGACTTTGCTTGTCAGAAGGTCGCAAAAAGCGATCACATGATCTTGGGACACAGCTATGGTCATAAATTTGAACCAGGTCAAGCATCCAATTTTTGATCATATGACCAAGAGTATTCTGCAACGGTTGTAAGTGTGAAAATGGTCATAAGTCACTCTTTTCAGTGCCATAGTAACTTCAGACAGTCACTAAATGAACTGTTGTGGATATATTTCATTTAACCAGGGAAAAATTGATTTCCAGCTAATGCTGAAAAGATAATAGGTTCTCATGAAGATAATGAAATTCTGATTGTAACACTATTTCTGCACCAATACTACAGAAGAATTTATTTTAAATTACCAAGTTCTGAAATGTTTAAAGAGATTATTGGTTTTCTTTTTAATCCAGATCCAGGAACTTCATAACAAGCTCTCTGAAGAATCCAAAAGAGCAGATGTCCTAGCTTTTGAAATGAAACAATTAGAAGAGAAGCATGAAACATTAATTAAAGAGAAAGAGGTGAGGTTTCTACTAATGTGGTGGAAATACAGTTTTCAAAATATTGGGAATTCAAGATACCTATGTGCATGTGCAAAGGAAGCCGGTTACTTAGAATGTTGAGTCTCGGAATAGCTGCAATGTAATGATCATTTGTTTTAGGCCATCATAGAAGATGTTACTATCCATTATGAAAACTGCTTTATTCTTTTTGAGAATGATGTTCTATATTCTATAACAGAATCATGTTCCCTTATTATCAGTTATTCAGGGATGTCTTTTTCAGGCGGAGAAGCAATTAAAGCTCTCATATAATATTATTAACACAAGTATTTTGATATGCATCTACCATTATTGAATGACTTTTTTTTATTTTCAGAGATTGATAATTCAGCGTGATGCATTGAAAGAGACCAATGAAGAGCTCAGATATTCACAAATGCAGCAGGATCATCTGAACCAAGCAGGTACTTTAAAAAAAATATTTAGAATCATTTTTGCTTAGACTCCATGGAAAATAGCCTTATGATTTTGCTTTATGCTATCAGGTGTATCGACTGTGAAAAACCAAGAAAACCTTGCTGCTGAAATTCTGCCTGTGGAATTTAGGTAAGAGAAATAAACACATGTAAAATGAAGTGTGAATCTTATTTATAATATGATGTGTGTAACGTGGAATACCAGACAACAGAGAAATCCCATATTCATATAAAGATAAAACCCTAAATATTGGAAAGGGTTGTTTCTAATTTGAATCAATTTAAATATACATATACTCTCAATTTTAATAAAAGTAACCAATATAGGAAATACAGTGATAAACATAATTCTGTATCTCTGGCTCCAAATTGGACTCGAGTTTTACAGATTTCATTATATAGCTTTATGGTGTTAAGGCTTTCCTGGTAAGATCCCATCCAGAGGATCAGATGTGTATCAGCAAAGGAGTAAGATGATAAGAGGGATTTATTAATTTTCTGGAAGAATGAAACCTGATTCCATTTCCTTGCCCCCTAGCTGTTTCAGCCAATGGGATTAGAGGCTGCTTTTGAGGAAGAAGTCTATAATCTACACATCTATATGCTATTTTTAAGAGGTTTTTCTAGGGTCTTTCTACTGAAATGAAATTAACACATGACTAGGGCTGCAAGCAGACCTTAGTGTATAATATCACAGAGATTGCCAATTGTATTGTAATATACAGTGAGCCCTGTTTTATAATGTTGGCGGAAAATGCAGTCTTTTGCAAAACATGTCTGCTTTCAAATTTTATTTTAAATCTCAGAGAAATGTTCATTCGGCTTCAGCATGAAAACAAGATGCTTCATTTGCAACAAGAAGGATCGGAAAATGAACAAATTGCAGGGCTTCAAGAGAAGCTGGAACAAAAAAATCGGATGATAAATGAATTAGAAACTGAAAACAGGTGATTCTCTCCTTCACATAACATTTATTTAATGCTATTTTTTTTATAAATACGAAAAACTTGTGAAAGACCCAAAATGAGAGATGTAAACATACTGAAGAAGATAGAAAGCACACGAAAGACTGATTGGCTCCACACTGAGGGGTGCAACTGGATTGAAAGTGGGCTTTCCTACTCAGTCTCCTCCTAGAGTTGCTTATAAATACTAAACAGGGGAGCCTCTCAAAATGAGGTAGATTATGATTCACTGGGAAAGAGAAATCCTTAAAGTTTAGGGCCAGCCAGTTTCTTTGAGTGGCATTCTACTCTCAGCAGTACTTCCCTCTGGTTTCTTCTCAGTTCCTACATAACAAAGTACAGGTATTCCTCGCGTACTGACTGTTCATTCAGCAACTGTTTGAAGTTGTGATGGCACTGACCAAGACACGCTAACAACCAGTTCCAACTGTCTCAATGCCCCAAACAGTCATGTGATGGCTATTACTTGGCCACGAACTCACAGTTCCAATGGTGCTTGTGTCCTGTGGTAACATAGTCATTATTTGAGATCTTCCCTGCTGGCTTCCCACAAGTTAAAATCAATGCGGAAGGACGTACGCTGCTCTGATAAGTCCTCCTGATCTTCCTGTGCTTGCATCACACTGCACCATCCATTCCCTGGGGTTCCTGCACTTGTGCCATGGCATCTACCCTGCAGCTTCTTGTGCTCAGACATGGTCTGCAGCAGGCGTCCAAAACCCTCTCTTGCCTCCCCCCGTTAATGTGCAGCGTGCACCAGCCTTCATCCTTCCTCCTGCAAGACATCCCGATGCTCCTTACCTGGGATTCCTGCCACTTTCTGCTCAATGATGACCCATGCCTACTTACAATTATGATAGCAACTATGTAGATGCAATCACATGACATTGTGCTTTATAACAGCATCACTTAGTGACAGCAATCCGGGTTCCATTTATCATTGTAATCTGAGGATTGTCTCTGATCTATTTAGGAGGGATAAATACCTCAATAGAGAGGCTGTCAAGGATGTTCCTGCTGCCAGCCTAGCGTGTGGGTGTAAACCTTGCAAGAACAATGATTTCATGCTTGAAATTCCTGAACTCTATTCATAGTCTTATGCTTAATGCTTCACGATAGGCTGAGCAAGGAGGGTCTTGGGGAGTTGCAGCAGCAGATTGAAGACCTTCAGAAGTCTTTGCAGGAGCAAGAGTCCAAGTCAGAAAGAGAAAGGGTAAGTGTGACATGGGACTATACCAGGGGTAGGCAACCTTAGCTCTTTTATGACTCGTGGACTCAGGAATTCTGGGAGTTGAAGTCCACGAGTCATAAAAGAGCCAAGGTTGCCTACCCCTGGACTATACCGAGAGTTCTTCATTTCATTTCATTTCATTTATTCGATTTGTATCCTGCCCTTCTCCCGAGGGACTCAGGGCGGCTCACAACATTTTAAAACAGAAACATGCCCACAATCCCCGCCGAATAAAACCAATTTAAAACCCAAATATTTTGAAGTTGTGAATATTTAAAATTTTCTAAAAATGAACCCGATTTAAAATCCTCCCTAGGCCAGGCCCGCTTGCTGGAAAAGCCATGTCTTGAGGGCGCAGCGGAAAGTAAGGAGATCCGGGATCACCCGGATCTGGGGGGGTAGTTCGTTCCAGAGGGCGGGGGCACCCACAGAGAAGGCCCTCCCCCTGGGGGTCGCCAGCCGACACTGCTTGGCCGACGGCACCCTGAGGAGACCCACTCTGTGGGAGCGTACCGGTCTATGGGAGAGAATCTGCGGCAGAAGGCGGTCTCGGAGA